GTTTGTACATAATTTTCTCAAGACTTTTGTCTTTCCCCTAATCCTATTGTGTATCTTTTCATGGAAAACAAAACCTTAGCCATGAATACAACTATACATTGACACCTGTGAGAACTTCTATTTAATCACAGAATATGTGGGTAATATTAGAGGGATGCTGGAAGATAATCATATTACATATATTATCTTAATCCTCAAAAAAACTCTGTTAAGGTGAGTAGCTATCAATGTTTTCTCTTATTGATATGGAGACTAAGATTAGTGAGGTTAAGCAATTTCCCTAGGATCTTACTTAATATACGAGAGAATCCAAACCTGTGTGACTCCAAAGTCTTAGCTTTTTACTACATAGTGCATTGCATCCTTATACCACAAATTGCATCTGCAGTGATAGTCAAGTTGTGGAACCAGGCTAAGTGTCAACAGATGAATGGATGAAAAAATGTGGTATAGATACACAATTGAGTTTTATTCATCCTTAAGAACAAAGTTATGTCATTTGCAGGAAAATTTATGGGACTGGAGAGCATCTTGTTAAGCGAAATAAACCAGATTCAAAAAGTTAAGATTCGTATGTTTTCTATCCTATGTAGAAAATAGAACAGCTGGGCATGGTGGTGCATGCCTGTAATCCCAGCAGCTTAGGAGGCTGAAACAGGAGAATCTTGAATTCAAAGCCAGCCTCAGCAACAGCAAGGTGCTAAGCAACTCAGTGAGATTCTGTCTCTAAATAAAACGTAAAATCGGGCTGGGGATGTGGCTCAGTGGCCAAGTGCCCCTGAGTTCAGTCCCTAGTACCACATCACCACCCTCAAAAAAAAAAAAAAAAGAAAATAGAACAAAAGGGGGGGAAATAATCTTATGAAAATAGAAGGAAGACTGGTAGCATAGATCAAAGAGATCAAGGGGAGGAAGGAAGAACAAGGGGAGATACTGGGGAAAGAATTTGATCAATTTATGTTATGTGCATGTTTGAATATACCATAGTGAAACCCACTATACTGTATAATTATTATGCACCAATAATTTTTTTTTTTAAATTTGTATCTGTAGTGGGTTGGGAGGAGTGAATTATCAAGGGTGATAGTGGTCTGAGAATGTTTCATGCAGGAGGGTAGGATATGGGTTGATCTTAAGGATAAATGGTCAGGATTAAAATTAAGTGGCGTAGGGGCTGGGGTTGTGGCTCAGAGCACTCACCTAGCATGTGTGAGGCCCTGGGTTTAATCCTCAGCACCACATAAAAATAAATAAATAAAATGAAGGTATTGTGTCCAACTACAACTAAAAAATAAATATTTTTTAAAAATTAAGTGGATTAGGAAAGAATATTTTGAGTAGGAAAATCTGCATGCTATTAAGGCATGCAAATGATAAAATACAAGATTTATTTGGGAGAAAGACTATATTGGGCGAAATGGAGTGTTGACACTAGACAGGTTTTCTTCCATACTTAAAAAAAAAAAAGAACTTTGACAGCTGCCACTATATGTCCATTCTAGTGTTTGGTAATAAGATAATTTGTCTGATTTAACATAAAATTATATATTTAAATTTAATAAGTGAGATGTATTTATTTAAGAATAATAAATGACAGGGTCTGGGAACGTGGCTCAGTGGTACAGCACTTGCTTAGCAAGCATGAGGACATGGGTTCAACCCAGCACAGCCAAAGAAGAAGAAGAAATAAAAAAAAAATGGAGTAATATATTTGTTCAAAAAGTCAAGCATGATTTCCAAAGGACATTGCCATGTACACAATTTGAGAACCACTGTTAGCATAAAGGTACTATTCCCCCCACCCCCGAGCATACAAGTAGAATACTGAAAACCACATTTAACTAATGCTAATCTGGTGGCAGTGTGAAGAATATATTGACTAGAACCAGAAAGTTAGTTCATTTACATCATTGTAATCATAGTATAACATACATGAAATGATTAAGAGTTTAGAGAATTATGGAAATGAAACTAGAAGAGATGTTATATAGGATGAATTGCTATACTGTAGTGGTGGAGTAGATATGTGTGTGGGTGTTTAGGAGATCCAAAGGATCTCTGTCTGGGTTATTTGAAGAAAATTTGGTATCTTTAACAGAAATGTGACATATTGGTGAAGTGTCATATACAGGACCATGAGAATTTTGATTCTAGGTATATTGAATTATTCCTTAAATTCCAGGTAGGAGTTGGGTGTGAGCTTGGGATTGCAGAGAGAAATCCGGGTTTCAGATTAGAAATAGAAACATTTGCAGTAAGTTAATAATCATCAAAACTATCTGAGTATAAGCTTAGGAGAAGTTCTAAAAAAAAAGCAACAAAGACTGAACTCTTGTTTTATTCATTTCATCAATAAGAAATGAATATTAAAGAGTACCTTTGGAGTTCATAAGTAATGTTGCTACCACCTACCATAAACTATTTGCAGAAAACTTGTTTTACTGTGCATTGATCAGGTATTTCCTGGCTTTTAAAGTTTAAGTGGTCTTTTATAGTATGATATTAATAGTAAAATCAATAAATAAATGTTCCTACCATATGGAAAGCATAGCTAGACACCAAATAACATTCAGATAGAATTTTTTTCTTATATAATAATGGTTCTTGGTGTGTGTGTGTGTGTGTGTTTGCAGATGTATGTATAGAGATTTCAGTTGCCTATTTAGGAGTGGTATTACCCCAGATCTTTCCACTTAAATACTTGTTTTGATTTATTCGTTTTTCCTATACATGTTGGCTATTGTGCTCCAAGTGCAGTAGCTATCACTGACAGCCAATCTAGTTGTATATGGGAAGAATTCCTATATTGTATTTTCTTTTAGTACAGAAATGGTCTTAAAATGTTTTAAGGAAAAAAAAAGATCATAACAAATGTGTAGGAAATGCTCATGTGCTTGCTTAATTAAACCCATGGTTGTCTCATTCATTCATTCATTCATTTATTCATTTGGTACTGGGGATTGAACCCAGGTGCACTTAACTGCTGTGCTCTATCTCCACCCCTTTTTAAATTTTTTTCAACTATTAATGATTTTTTTTAATTTGTAGTTGTAGATGGACAGAATGCCTTTATTTTATTTGTTTATTTTTATGTGGTGCTCGGGTTGAACCCAGTGCCTCATGCATGCTAGGTAAGTGCTCTGCCACTGAGCTGCAGGCCCAGCCCAATTTTATTTTCTGTTTTCAAAAAACAAAAATGATATACAATATGCACTACTCCACACTTTTTTTCACTTATCAATTTATCTTGGTGACCTTTCCATACTCGACCCAGTGTTATATTTTTGTCTTTTTAACTAGTAATTAGTCAATCTGCATTGACAATAAAATGCATTTTGATCATTGTACACAATTGCAGCACAACTTTTCATTTCTCTGGCTGTACACGATATACCATCACTAAGTTTTTGAGAAAAGGTCTTGCTAGGTTGCTGAGTATGGCCTTAAACTTGCAATCCTCCTGCCTCAGCCTTCTGAGTCTCTGGGATTATAGGTGTGCACCACTGGGCCTGGACCTAGAAATATTATTGCCCTGAATTTTCTCAACTTCTTAAAATTGATTTTGGACTCACTCTATAAGCCATTGGCTTGCAAATCACTCAAAGCAGTTGGAACTCTATGAATCTTTTCTATGAGGATGATTTAGTAAGCATGAATAATATTACTAAATTATGAAGACTTAGTGTGATGTTCACATTAGGAAACTGCACTGATGCAGTCATCTGTAATTGATTTATTTCATTTATTTGAACATCTTATACTCCAAAACTGATGTGGTTCATTAAAACATCTTTGTCCTCGTTTCTGCTATTCTAGATATTCTTTTAAAATTTTAATCATAAACAGAAATATTGGCAAAAATGAAATGTGATTCTAGTTTTCTGAAGCTTGTTGAAAGTCAGTATGGTATATTGAAAAGATATATTTTTCTTTCCCAGGCTTTAGAGTTCCGAGGCCTATCTCTGCTGGGTATTGCTTGGAAAAACTTAGGCTTTTCACTTAACTTCATCAGGGTCTATTTTCCCCATTATAAAACAAGTTGCTTTGGCTGTACATTTAAGGTTCCTTAATTTTTTTTTTCCTGGTAATGAGGAGTGAACCCAGGGTGCTTTACCACTGATACACATACCCACTTGCTATCTTCCTTCCTCACCCTCCTGAGCAAGTGGGATTGGATCATAGGGCATGTGCCACCGTGCACAGCTTAGTTTTTGTTTGTTTTATAGTGCTGGGAATCTAATCCAGGGCCTGAGGCATGCCAGACAAGTATTCTACCACTGAGCTATATCCCCAGCTCTAAAGGTTGCTTTTTAAATTTTTTTTATTTGGGGTGGGGGTACTGGGGATTGATATCAGGGGCACTCTACCATTGAGCCATATCCCCAGCCCTATTTTGTATTTTATTTAGAGAAAGGGTCTCACCGAGTTGCTTACTGCCTCAGTGTTGCTGAGGCTGGCTTTGAATTCGTGATCCTCCTGTCTCAGTCTCCTTAGCTGCTGGAATTATAGGTGTGTGCCACTGTACCTGTCAAGGTTCATTTTTTAATGTTATGTGATTCTCCTCCTCCTCCTCTTCAACCCTTCCCCTATTCAATGGGTTGAAATCAGGGTCTGGCACATGTTAGCAAGCATTCTCCCACTGAGCTATACTCCTAGTTCTGTGATTCTTTTTTAACTCTTCTACCTGAGGAAGTATCTACCTGAGGAAGCTGATAAAAGATTAAAGTTTAAAGGAGATTATTTTTATTATACTTGAAGTACACTTAAGGTAATCTTCTAATTCAGGATCCAAACAATAAGAAATTTTGGAGAGTGAAAAGGGGTATTGTTAGTGAATTACTGCAGGACAACATGTTTAAATCAGAACTGTCTCAGGTAAACTAAAATGTCTGTTCATTCGGTATGTTCCACGTATTGTTCTGTTAAGTGCATTTTTGGCCAAAGAAGTTATCTGTATCAATCATAATTCCTTTACATGGTTTCCCTGTTTTATCTTATAGATCCACTATGTGTAGAGAGTAATACAGCATCGTGCCAGCAATCTCCAGCCAGTAAAAAAGGGATGTTCACAGATGACTTACATAAGCTGGTGGATGACTGGACAAAGGAAACAGTGGGAAATTCTCTTATTAAGCCAAGTTTAAACCAACTTAAACAGAGTCAACAAAAAATAGAGGCAGAAAACTGGAACAAGGCATATGAAGTAAGTTTTTTATACTTAATCCTCTTTATTTATGAGAACTAAAATCATAAATGTGGATATACTTAGGCCTATGATTATAGATACTGTGAAAAAGAGATATGACTTGAAAACATAGATACTTTTAACCTTGTCTAGATTTTCCATATCTTTGAGCAAATTATCTTTTAGATCAAGGGTCAGCAAGCTTTTATAAGGGGAATAGCTAGTCAATATTTTAGGTTTTGCAAGCCATGCTGTTCCAATTAGTCCAGTTTGTTGTAGTGCAAAAACAGCCTTATACAACATGTAAAAAATGGGTTTGGCTTTTTCCATTAAATTGTGCTGTATGAAAAGCAGTGGCAGGCCACGCTTTGCTGATCCTTTTAGGCTGTTCTATGTTAAAATCAACCAAATAAACATCAAAAAAGAAAGCATCTGGAATGAGTGTTAATTCAATCTGGTGCCACAAGAAGAGTTTGCATTTTGAGGGCAAGCTATCCTATGTTGCATGTCAATATTCGTAAAGCTCATTAAGTTAACTATCTTTGTCTAGTATTAGAATTAATTTTAAAGCTTCTTAAGCTAAAATATTATAAGAGGTTTGTTGAGTTTATGGAATGGAAACCCAGTGGCCTTAGGTGTACATGCAATTAAAATGGAGAAATATGTCTATAATGTATTCTGCAGTGGGAAGAATACATGCTTATAAAAGAGCATATATAGTATAATTTATTTAAAAAATCATTCACATTTGACATGTTTACATGCATAGAAAAATATGAAAACCCATGAGGAATATGCCAGATGGTAGAATATTGGCCTTATTTTATTTTGAATTTTTCTGTTTGAATTTTTAAGGTAACTTTTTTTTTCAAAATAAGTGAATCTGTTAAAATATGAATCAAGGCTTAGAATCTCATCCCTCATAATTAAAAGAGATATATGTGGGTGTTATGTTTGTGTACATGCATATGTGTGCATATATAATCATTAAACAGTTCAGTAAAGAAAATATGAAAATGTATTTATTGTTAATTTTGAAAAAAACTATTTTAAGGGCTGGGGATGTGGCTCAAGCAGTAGCGCGCTCGCCTGGCATGCGTGCGGCCCGGGTTCAATCCTCAGCACCACATACAAACAAAAGATGTTGTATCCGCTGAAAACTGAAAAATAAATATTGAAGAATTCTCTCTCTTTCTCTCTTACTCTCACTCTTTCTTTAAAAAAAAAGAAAAGAAAAAACTATTTTAAAATCCTTTATTTTGCAAACTAGTAGGCAATGTATTGTTTGTGGGCTCTGTGTTTTCATCTTATTCCTGGCTCCTGTTGACACACAGATAGTAACACCATTATAAAATTTGTAAGCCTTTAGAGGCAAATCAAGACATAAATGCATTTGTACTGCCAGTGAGAGACCCTCTGAATACTTTGTGAATGGAGGCTTTTTATTACTTATAAAAATAATACTTACCATAGAAAAGTACAAGCTTTAAAATATCACCATCATATCTTACCACCTAGAAATAGTTGTCATCAACTTTTAAACATCATTTCAAATTTCTTTCTGTCTAAATATGGATACATGGAAACAACTTTATAAAAAATGTGATCATACTGTTGGGGTTGGGGTCATAGCTAAGTGGTAGAGTGCTTGCCTACCACATGTGAGGCACTGGGATTGATACTCAGCACCGTATAAAAAATAAATAAATAAAAGAAAGTTATTGTATCCATCTACAACTAAAAAATATTTTTAAAAATGTGATCATACAGTATATGCTGTTTTGAAGCATAACCATTAAATTTACTTTAACAGAAGGAAAACACTGATATAAAGAAGGGATGGCTGAACTTCAAATCAATGGTTTTTCACCTCAAAAGATGAATTTTATTTTTTTAAATTTCTTTTTTATTACACAATACCTTTATTTTCTTTATTTATTTTTATGTGGTGCTGAGGATCAAACCCAGGGCCCCCGCACACGCTAGGCAAGTGCTCTACCACTGAGCCACAACCCCAGCCCCTCATTTTTTTTACCTTTATTTATTTATTTTTATGTGTTGCTGGGATTGAACCCAGTGCCTTGCACATGCTAGGCGAGCACTCTACTGCTGAGCCACAACCCCATCCCCTGTCATTCATTTTTGAGTTAAACTAATACCCTTTAATACCCTTTACCCTAAGTTGAAAGTTTCTTAGTTGAAAGTTTTGTTTTAGATTGATAATTCAGTTTACAAGATCTAAGCATGAGACTGATAAGAGAATTGCTTACATCCAATAGAATTATTATTTCCATGTGCATGAGATTTCTGTAATCTCTATACTTGTGAATAGTCACAATACAGTATAAGAAGAATCAGGCAGGAATATATTTATTAATACTGCCAAAAATATAATTATTTCATTGTCTTCTATAACAAAAATGTCAGACTTTAAGATAGTGAATAGAGGGCTGGGGTTGTAGTGCAGTGGTAGAGCACCTGCCTAACATGTGCGAGGCACTGGATTGGATCCTCAGCACCACATATAAATAAATAAAATAAAGGTCCATTGATGACTAAAAAATATTTTTTAAAAAAGATAGTGAATAGAAGTGGGTAGGAAGACGACATTTATTGAGCACCCACTATATGCTAGGTTTTTCTTCTATGTTATACTAAACCATGCTCCTGTCTCCAGAGAATTATATAGTAAGATGGGCTATTCTCGCCTATAGCACTATATGAAGTCATGCTGAGGACTCACAAAAGGAAGTAAGAATTGAAGGATAGTGCTAACGTGAGGAAAGGAGGAAACTGAATGGGAATTTAGTATGGGCCTTGTAGTTAGTTGGAACTGAGTTCCAATCACCACTTCAATATTAACGTGCTTAGTGCTGTTGCTTGGAGTTACCAGTTTTGAGATTCTGTTTCCTCATCTGAAAATGCCTACCCTGCAAAAGCCGGGCAGTTATGAAGATGAACCAAAATAAGGTATGTAGAAAAGTTGCTCCCATGAAGAAAAGTTGCTCCCAAAATGGTACCACTCAAAGTATTAACAGGAGTAGTAAGCCAAAAAGAATAGGAAGGAATATAGATTGATAAAAGCATATAAACAAATAAACTGATCTTTTGTTTTTACTTTTGTTTTTTCTTAGAATACTCCATCTACTATGGGCTACACATCAACATGGATTTCTTCTCTGTCCCAAATTCGTGGAGCTGTCCCAACCTCCTTGCCCCAAGGACTGCCACTCCCTTCATTTCCTGGGCCATTATCATCATATGGAATGCCCCATGTTTGTCAGTATAATGCTGTGGGGGGTGCAGGGTATCCAGTACAGTGGGTAGGAATTTCAGGGACAACACAACAGTCTATAGTAATTCCTACCCAATCTGGGGGACCGTTTCAGCCGGGGATGAATTTGCAGGCATTTCCAGCTCCACCAGTGCAGAATCCTGCTACAATCCCTCCTGGTCCCAAGTGAATCAGAGTAGATGGTGAAGAAAAGGGAGATTTTTTTCAGAATTATTTTCAGGACACCTAAGATATAAAAGTTTCTTCTCCTTGGGTTCTGCCATATTTTCCCTCATTTGAGTTTACTTTCAACTGTATTTTTTGTTGTTACAATGTGGTATTTGATATAGCTCATCATTCTGTAGAAATGTGCACAAAGTACACTGCACACAGAAATGTTTTTCACTTCAATCCTATCCTCTTTGATACTTGATTTTTAAAAAAAAAATACTGTTCAGAATGCTTTAATAAGCTCAGCCTGAGCATTACCATTTCCAGGACACTTTCCACGCATTGCTGAGAAGCCCCCATTTTTTACTGCTGCTATCTGCAGCTGGATATTTTACTTTAAAATGTATAAAAATTACCTAGATTGATTATCCCCAAGCATGGGTGAAGTGAGACCCTCCAGTAGCCAGAGTCTTGTGGGTTTCTTCACGTGTTTATCTTAGGTTTACCTTTCACAGAAGGCAGGGTAACTTGCTGCAGGAAATTTTTTGGTATTTAAATTTATGATAACTTTATCAACCAGTACAGAACATGAGCCCTTTTTAATGTGATTTTCTTCCCGTCATCACAGCAGTAGGAGTGAAGCCTTGTTTTGAGTGAGGCGGAGGGAAAGGAAAAAACAGAACTGTAACAGTTCCTAGATTCTACAGATATTATAGCTGCTTTAGGATTTCGGTAATAATTCAAAGCAGCTATCTCTTTGTTTCTCATGTGCACACTATATTGGTTTTGAGCATCTGAGAGGCATTGGTTTGGCTTGCATTCTTTCGCAAGGGATATATTGCAGCTGATATGAATCTCATTTAGGGAGAATCCTTGTATTCCTAACAGGGGATTCAAGGTACACCTCTATCGATCCATTCTTCTGAAGTGAAATTTACTTGACACAGTAGGTTTTGTAGGTTTTGAGACTTACACATGAAACACTGGCTTTACAGGGTTCTAAGAGATGTGGGGTATACACTGTCCTGCAGTGAGATAATAGACCCTAGAAGAATACTATTTAATTTGCCCTTAGATTTTTTGGATTCCATTTTTAGTTGTTATAATTTCTTATTAGTATCTATAGCGTCTTAGATGATTTTAGATCTTAGATGAGTTTGGCAGCCTCTTTAGAATCTGAGAGAGATCACTGTCAAGTTGCACTTTACTGGGTTTTATCCAGTTTTAGGAGGAAGGGAGGCAATGTCAAAATGTACACCTTTGGTTTTTAAGAAGGTTAAATATAATAATTTTAAAGGCTGGTCACAGGGTTACCTAATGCTCAGTCTGTGAAACCCAAATAAAATTCTTAAATGGTATTTTCAACTCCCAATTATACATGTTCAAACTATTTACCTTCCACTCCAAAGATTTCAAGGTCATTTCTAGTACATCTTTACCTAATTAGGAGTTCCGTCTACTGGTAAACATTCCAAAATTTCACTCAAGATCTCTGTTAAGATTTTCCACCATAATCCTCTAAAAATTGTACCCCATGGGCTTGCCAGGTAATGAAAAAAACAATGGGTGTACGTCTCTCTTTTTTCTTTTTTTGGCACAGTCTACTTTGTAACATTTAGTATCCTTTATAAAATAAAAATGTGTCTTATTTGGTTACCTGAGGATCACACCCACTACCACAAAGATTCTGTCACTATTACTTGGGGCATCTAAGGCAGCATTTTAAGAATTGCTGTTGATAAGAGTGAGTTTCTTTTCATTAAACATCCTGTTTTGGATAAGGATGTTTTATGAAATGATTTCTTTCCAAATCTTACGTACAGAGTCTACAAATTTCTTCTACAGTATTGGTTTGCAATTTGAAGTGATTTTAGAACATTAGAGCACTGCAAATGCTTACACTGCAGTGTTTTCCATTTGTACAAAAACAATGCTCCTAAAGTCCATAATTCTTTAAAACTATTTGTGTTTTATTATAAAAGTTGGCATTGTGTAATTACATTGAGACATACAGCCTATGAAGTGAAAGTACTATAGATTTTAAGACCTCTTCTTCTCTAGTTCTCTTTTTAAACAATGTACCCCAGGATTAAAAAAAAAAAAAAAGATCCGTGGATGACATGTACAATTACATTTATTAATGGCTGCTCTATATCATATGTCCTGCATTTTTGTCACCACCTCTGTTTTATGTATAATTCATCATTCTTGTTTGCCTGCAGACTTTTGCAGTGCCTTGTAATATTTAGAATCTTTTCAGGTTTTGCTGGAAAGAAATGTAGTCTTCTAAAGTTTGAAGATGGTGAATAGTGTACTGCTGTCTCCATGCTGACTGCAGTAGCTGGATTAACATATATGTTATATATACGTTGTGTATATATAACGTGAGTGTAAATTTAAAACTACAGAAAAAAGTGAGTTTGTGCAGAAATGAAGAAAACAATGTTATTCACATCGCTGTGGGTTTTTATTTACTATTTCCCATTACTTAAATGAGATTATAGTCACTTTGACTGTAAATATTGGCTAATTTTCTATCTAGGGGTTTTGCATTATTTCATAATTTTACTAAGTCATATAATAGTGCTGTTTTCATCCTTGCCTGAGGTACTTTTCCTTCCTAGAAATAATTAACTCTTGAGGTAAAGCTCAGAAATTCCCTTCTTACTTAACAAAGAGCCTACTATATAAAAAAGGCCTTCTACTCATTTCCAAAAACACACAAACCTATCCTTTTCATTTTCTTTCTTGTAGAAGAGAAAAAGGTTGTGCTTAACCATTGTGCTTGTAAAGTTTATTTGGGGGGATAGTCTGTATGTCCAGCCACCATGTTTACTTCTCAAAGTGCAAGTCTGATGAACAGTACTGTATCTCCATATGTGGCAATGTGAGTATTTCATCATGAAGTACCTGCTGCTATGTTTGTGAAGTTGGGTGTAAGATCATAAGAATATGAAACCAGTATTGGTGTAAATCTAAAGTAAATAACCCTATGTATATTTGTAGCAGTCTTGAATCTCTATTTAAGGTAATTTGCTGTAATATAACAAATATCCATTCTGTTTTTCATCCCTTCCTTGTCAGTTTTATATCAAGCATGAAATCTCATGGTTTGACAGCAAAATTATCTGTGAAAGTTTAAAAGGCACTTTTCCGCTGTGATTTTTGGATTGAGTTTAGAGTGTTATGTACAGTATGATGGATGTATCATCTTAGAACCCCAAATTTAATTCTAATCCAGTTACTTTTGTTTATCTACCTCGTTTCAGTGCTGTTTTGGGTGCACAAGTAAACACTGCCTGTGAAACTTGCATTTTTGCCTTGATTCTCAGTATTCTTTCAGATTATAAATCTGGCTTGCCTCTTTGTCCCAGCACTAACCATGAGTTTGAGATGAGAGAGATCATCACTCAGCCACCAATCTGTGTTTAAGTGATGAGAGCCATGTGCCTATGTGAAATAAGCTTAGGGGATTTGGGGATGGAGAGCAGAAAACTAAATCTAAGTGGTGGTGATAATAGGACTTAGTTGTAGGAATTAGTTTAAAAATAAACAAATGGTTTAAAAGTACCTAAATTAGTCCAGTGCCTGTAACTTTGCATTTTTTACTAGAGATGCATTTCTCGTCTCTGTGCCTAAAGGGCTATGGGTTGAAATTGCTTTAACTACCACAGTGAAATATTTGACAAATCCTACAGCAGTGACCTGTCATTTAACGTATTAGTATACTGCCAAGTATTTGCGTGATATTTTGTTACTTTACAATGGTTGAATGCATTTAAGTTGAATTATAATTGGTGGTAAGGGTTGTATATAACTATCCAATCTCTAAAGTTTATGGAGGCATTGACTTTATTCCTTGCTGTATTTTCTGAGTGATAAAAATGATGCATTCCTTTTTCCCCAAAAAACTCAGCAAATGTTTGTAACCAGATTTTCCTTGTTTCACATGTTTACTGTGTAACACTACAGCATATTTAATATTAGTAAAAATTGTAATTTCAGTCATCATGCATAACTACATTCCTGAGGTATATTTACCATCAGTTTGAGATTTCAGTTACTTCATCTTCTGTTTGGTTCAGAAAAACTTGGGCCATGAGGTGGTATGCAGGCCATTTTTTAGGATAGATTATTTTTTGAATCTGTTATTTTATTGGGGATTTGTTTTCCCTCCCCATGTTTAGAAGACTAGAAAAGGGGGTGTGTGTGCACAGAAAAGGCCTTTGATTTAGTGAATGTAATTTCTAGGATTCATTTTTTTTTAAATCCAGATTATAAAATGATAACACTCAAACTTGGTAAGATCCTTTAAAGTGGAATAAGTATGAAATTTTTATGGAGCCAAGAGCTTGCAAGTCACCCTGGAAATTGTCTTTTTATGAGAAGGATGAACACAAACATTGGTCAGGAACATTGACAACCAACATATGAAAAGGCCTGGGGTAGTAACTAGGTTACACTAAAGTTATTTTCAAGTGAGATAGCTGGAAAAGTGTGCAAACCACCAGCTCCAATTCTAGAAGGTTTTCTTTTAATTAAAAAAAAAAAAAAACTCAAATAGAAAGGCTAAAAGTCAAGCAAGAAGGGAAGATAGAAACTCGGCTCTGAGAAAAAAAAAATGTGCCAGTGTAAAATAAACTTCTAAATGTGTACTTGTCATCCTTCTAGTTTTTTAAGTTGCATTTCTTTTTCCACTATAACTTAAGGTTTGAGGTTGAGATTTGTGGTCCAGAACATACCCTCAGCAGATATAGTGACTAATCGGAAAGTGCAGTTGTTCAAGGTCTGTCATGCTCAATCACTTAAAGCTGTAATTTGTTTGATATGATTATTAAGCATGTAGACCTAGTGCAGCATGGGAGCCACTCAGGAAGTTTATGCAATTAATAAACTTTCATGCATAATTTACTATGAAGTATGCAGAATTTCCGCCACTTCTCTACACTTAACATTTAGTTGTATTTGTGAATTCTCCTTTCTTAATTGGGGAATGTAGCATTATATAGAATGTTGTTA